AAAAAGGAAAAAAAAAAAAAAAAAGAAACGGAAAAAGAAAAGAGAGAGGAGGGAATGCGGCTCCATGATGTCCTGTCACGGTGGTGAACGTTTCTGCTGTACCCATTTGTGTATTTCATTCTCGTCTCAGAACCGTTCTGTAATATTGTTATGTTCGCTATTGTAGAGCAGCTCTGTAAATACACCGAAAAGTGGGGGGGGGGGGGGGGGGGGGGGTTCGGTGCTTCCTTCCCCCCGCACCGCCCTATTTCACAGCCCCATAATAAAAGGAGCTGAGGTAAGGGTTCTCCGTGCCATCCATTTTTAGATGGGGATAATGAATTGTACTAATTTATGGCCCCCGGGGCAATCGAAGGATATGTTAAGGGGAAAAAAAAAAAAAAGGAGTGTGTGTGTGTTGGGGGGGGGGGGAAATGTGGGTGCTGGGATGAGAGAGGAGCTGGCAGCTGCCGTTCTCCGCTCGGGGGGGAGATGTGCCATAGAGATGCGTGTTTGGCAAAAGGTGGGGAAGTGCTGCAGGGCGAAGGGGGAAAAGGAGAAGGGATGAAATCAAGCAGAGCTCTATCCGTAATAAGGATGATAGTAATGGGATAGAAGGGCTCGGGGGGGGGGGTAAAGGGAAGAGAGAGCGAGGAGGGGTGTAGGAATAGGGTGGGGGGGGATTGATAGGGGTACATTGATAGGGTGATAAGGGTGGATTGATAGGGGGTGCGTTAATAGGGGGTACATTGATGGGGTTGGATTGATAGGGATGGGTTGATAGGGGATGGGTTGATAGGGGATGGGTTGATAGGGGGTACGTTGATAGGGGTACATTGTTAGGAGGTGCATTAATAAGGGTAAATTGTAAGGAGGTACATTGTTAGGGGGTAAATGAGAAGGGAGATAAATTAATAGGGGTGTAAAGAAGTGATGGGAGGGGAGGGGGGGGAAGGAAGAAGAGGGTGAAGAAATAGAGGGATAAATAAACGAGTGGTGGCGATGCGGCAGCGTGAAAATTCCGGATGGGAAAAAAAAAAAAAAAGAAAAAAAGCAGAGTCGTGTCCCCCCCCCTTCCCTCCCCCCTTCCTCGGCCCTCTGCGGGAAGAAGGATTTAAAGAAATAAAATAGAAGATGGAATAAAAAGGAGGAGATGCGGGGGAATCAAAAGCTGTCGGGTGCGGGATGGTGAAAACGGAGCTGCGGGGGAGGGAAAAAAAAAAATTGCGGAGCCCCCGGGATCCGAGCGGTTGAACGAGGAAAGAGAGTCGGGAGGTTGGATAAAAAACGAGCAGCGAGGGATGTTTAATCATAAAAACTTGTTATAGGTCCCTTTCTTTAATGAAATGAGTGGAGCGGCGTTTTAATCTTCCTAATCAAAAGCAGATCGGGGCAGCGAGATACGCTTGTCGCCCTCGTCTCGGTTCCTCTGAAATAATAATAATAATAATAATAATAATAATAAAAGAAGAAATCTGGAAGCGATTACTTCTGCCGATCTCATCAAATATCGCTCTTTCATATTTCTTCCCGTTGGAGTCCCTTCTCCCGGCCCTGATTTGTA